TTCCATATCCAGATGCTGTCCAGAGCCTTTTTTCATCATCAGAAATGCATGCAAAGTGTTTTCCATGTACAGTTGCAAGAAAAAGTATGTGAACCCCTTGGGATTACGTGGAGTTTTGCATGAATTGGGCATAAAATGTGCTCTGAACGTCATCTAAGTCACAACAATAGAAGAACACAGTCTGCTGAACATAATGCTACACAAACATTAGATGTTGCCATGGTTTAATTGCACATAACATGTAAACATTCACAGTGCAGGGAGGAAAAAGTATGTGAGGCCCTAGCTTAATGACTTCTCCCAGAGCTAATTGGAGCCAGGAGTGAGCCAACCTTGACTCCAATCAGTGTGATGATATTGGATGTGTTGCTGACAGCTGTCCTGCCCTTAAAAAACACACACCTGTTTTGGGTTTACTGGTTTCAAGAAGCACTGTCCGATGTGAACCATGCTTCGCAGAAAAGAGCTCTCAGAAGACCTACGATCAAGAATTGTTGACTTGCATGAAGCTGGAAAGGATTACAAAAGTATCTCCAAAAGCCTTGATGTTCATGTGTCCACGGTAAGACAGATTGTTTACAAATGGAGAAAATTTAGCACTGTTGCTACTCTCCCTAGGTGTGGTCGTCCTGTAAAAATGACTGCAAGAGCACAGCGTAGAATGCTGCATGAGGTAAAGAAGAATCCCAGAGTGTCAGCTAAAGACCTACAGAAATCTCTGGCACATGCTAACATTTTTGTTGACACATCTACAATAAGGAAACCATTAAACAAGAATGGAGTACATGGGAGGACACCACGGAGGAAGCCATTGCTGTCCAAAAAGAATATTGCAGCACGTTTGAAGTTTGCAAAAGAGCAGCTGGATGTTCCACAGCACTACTGGCAAAATATACTGTGGACAGATGAAACTAAGATTGAGTTGTTTGGGAAGAACACACAACACTATGTGTGGAGAAAAAAAGGCACAGCACACCAACATCAAAACCTCATCCCCACTGTAAAACATGGCGGAGTGAGCATCATGGTTTGGGGCTGCTTTGCTGCCTTGGGGCCTGGACGGATTGTTGTCATTGATGGGAAAATGAATTCCAGAGTTTATCAAGACATTTTGCAGGAAAACGTACGACCATCTGTCCGCCAACTGAAGCTCCGCAGAGGATGGGTGATGCAATAGGACAATGACCCAAAGCATACAAGTAATTAAACAAAACAATGGCTGCAACAGCACAGAATACGCCTTCTGGAGTGGCCCAGTCAGAGTCCTGACCTCAACCTGATTGAAATGCTGTGGCATGACCTTAAGAGAGCGATTCACACGAGACATCCCAAGAATATTGCTACACTGAAACAGTTTTGTGATCCAAAATTACTCCAGATCGTTGTGCAGGTCTGATCTGCAACTACAGGAAACGTTTGGTTGAGGTTATTGCTGCCAAAGGAGGGTCAACCAGTTATTAAGTCCAAAGGTTCACATACTTTTTCCTCCCTGCACTGTGAATGTTTACATGTTATGTGCAATTAAACCATGGCAACATCTAATGTTTGTGTAGTATTACGTTCAGCAAACTGTGTTCTTCTATTGTTGTGACTTAGATGACATTCAGAGCACATTTTATGCCCAATTCATGCAAAACTCCACGTAATCCTAAGGGGTTCACATACTTTTTCTTGCAACTGTATTCTAATGGACCTTGTACACCAGCGCAGTCAGTTCCAGATTTTGCTTTTAAAGCATTGCATTATGAGTTTTGGATACCATGCTTTTTTGCAATTCCACAGGCATTTGCAATTTTAGGACTTGACATATTTGGTATCTATTTTATATATTTTTCTAAAAAATGGGTATACTATTGTCTTTGTATGCACTAAAATTAATGCTTTCACATGGCAAGATAAAAAAAGGGTTTTTATGGGTAAATAACTTGTACAAAATACATTAAATGCAAACATATTATTATGGGAAGATTTATTTATTTTTTTAATTAATGGTCTGGCAAAAAGGTCCCTTTAACAACTTTTTGGAATAAGACCTGTTTGTGGTCTCACACTCATTACAGAACGTACCAATTTCTATTGGATATTTTGCAAGCAAACAAGAATACTTCAGAAACAATTACGAAACCGTCACAATTCTGCAAAGTATTTATTCTAAGGACTAACACAAATTAGAGCATGAATATTAGATTTCTCTGTACGCACAGAAGCAGGTCTACAGAAAAACAAAAATCATTCAGTCTTCCTTTTTTCAAGCATGCTTCGTTAGGCACAGGAACTACACATGGAAAGAATTTTAAAGTTTTTTTTTTTTTTTACCTCTTGTTTTGAATAAGGAATGGTTAAAAACCCTGACAGTTTTTTTGCTCGCTGTCTGTGTCCCTTTGGGGAAATTTTCCTTCGCTTTTTGTCCCCAGACACAACAAGCAGTGATAGGTGAGCTCTAAAGGAAAATAAATCATCTCTTGAACAATTATCACCAGAACAAGTGTCTGTACTGGATAATTTCCTCCCCACAACTGTTCTGATGACAGCTCAGCAATAAAAAAAAAAAAAAGACAGATTCTTACCCTTCCCTACTATATCCAAAAATTTAGAAAAATGGCTTTAGATACACTTTAAGGGCTCATGCACATGAGCATACAATCTGCTGCATTCAGATCTGTAATTTATACAAATCTAAAAGCAGCAATATTGTATGTGATGAGCCCATGCACATAGCTTTGTTTTGTTCTGCAGCATTACAACTGTGTAAATGAAAAACTAGAAAAAACCTGGGTTCACGGACCTGCATATGGGACGTATTTTATGCTGATGTTTACATGTGTACAGAATACATGGACCTTAGTGGCCTTCACTGCTGTTTATGGCTAAAATGTAAATATCAATGTGTAGTCAGATTAAAGTAGAACTTCACCTGAAAAGGGAAATTCCGCTTTTCCTACTTCTCCCACTTTTGGGTGTTTATTTTCCCCTGGGAGCGGGTACTTATTTTTGGCAGGTATCTATCTGCCTGTCACAGGTCCTAGGAGACTGCAGGATCACTGAGTGCGTCTTGCGCATGCGCAGTGGAGAGCCAACTGTGATGCACCAAGAAATCACAGCTGCCTTCCCACATCCAAAGGAGCTGTCTATGCAAGTGAAACAGGTAAAAAATTAAACAAATCCATCAGCGAGATATCAGCAACATTAGGAGTGGCCAAATCAACAGTTTGGTACATTCTGAGGAAAGAACGCACTGGTGAGCTCAGCAACATAAAGAGGCATTGACGTCCATGAAAGACAACAGTGGTGGATGATTGCAGGATTCTCTCTATGGTAAAGAAAAACCCATTCACAACATTCAGACAAGTGAAGGACACTCTCAAGGAGGCTGGCGTGTCATTGTCAAAGTCTACAATGAAGAGAAGACTTCACGAGAGCAAATACAGATGATTCACCACAAGGTGCAAACCATTCATAAGCCTGAAGTATAGGAAAGCCAGATTAGACTTTGCCAAAAAACATCAAAAAAGCAAAACTTGTTCTGGAAAAGAATTCTTTGGATTGATGAAACTAAGATGAATCTGTACCAGAATGACGGGAGGAAAAAAGTGTGGTGAAGGCTTGGAACAGCTCATGATCCAAAGCACACAATATCATCTGTAAAACATGGTGGAGGCAGTGTGATGGCATGGGCATGCATGGCTTCCAGTGGCACTGGGCCATTGGTGTTTACTGATGATGTGACAGAAGCAGCCGGATGAATTCTGCAGTGTTTAGAGATATACGGTCAGCCTAGATTCAGCCAAATGCAGCAAAGTTGATTGGACAGCGCTTCACAGTACAGATGGACAATGATCCAAAACACACTGCAAAAGCAACCCAGGAGCTTTTGAAGGAAAAGAAGTGGAATATTCTGCAATGGCCAAGTCAATCACCTTATCTCAACCCAATTCAGCATGCAATTCACTTGCTGAAGGCAAAACTAAAAGGCAGAAAGACCCACAAACAAAAAACAACTGAAGACAGCTGCAGTTAGAGCCTGGCAAAGCATCAGAAAGGAGGAAACCCAGTCTTTGGTAATGTCCATGGGTTCCAGACTTCAGACAGTCATTGCCTGTAAAGGATTCTGAACAAAACATTAAAAATGAACATTTTATGATTATATTCATTTGTCCAATTACATTTGAGCCCCTGAAAATGGAAGGACTGTGTATAAAAAGGGTTGCAGTTCCTAAAATTTGTACTTTATATATATGTTCAACTCCTTGAAATAAAGCTGACAGTCTGCACTTCAAATTAATTTTTATTGTTTTGTTTTAATTTATTCTGGTGACATACAGAGCCAAAAGTATGAAAATTGTGCCTGTGTCCAAATATACTGTATATGGACCTAACTGCACATACACATAAAAAGTTGACTGGGCGCCTGAACTGGTATACAAATATACACAGCCTGTAAACTGAAGTGCAACCACGACACAATATACAAGTACCATAATAGCATTGCTATTTAAGGTCCTGTTCACATAAGACAATACCAAATCTCAGCAGAATGTGCAACACACATTTGGGTGCCATTCTGCCATGGCTGCTGTGAAACAGAATTGCCTGATTAAAAATCGCACTAAGCTTGTCACCCAAAAAAAAAAAGGAGCTTCTTTTGGGCAACAAACCCACAGAGAGCAGCCCATAGATGATGGGCTGCCCTATGTGCGACATGCGTTTACTCATGTAAATTGCACTTTAACTGGTCTGATTATGTCAGTATTTCTGTGCTCAAGAATATAATCAAACCAAAAACACTGAAATTTGAAATATAGCGCCAAGTTCGCACATCACTGAGCAAATTCACAAAATCGTTTTCAGTGTCTGATGACGAATTTCCCCCACGAATCATTAGCACTCAATTTTGCAAGTGGTTCTAATTTACTATCGCTGTTCTCTAGCTGGTCTCAGTTTCCAGGCCGAAAGAACAGTAAAAATGCAGGCAGGGCACAGGACAAAGCACTAGGGACAAAATGTATGTGAATTGGTTTGATACAGTAATGTTTTACTATGTGATTTTAGTGTATTTATTGAATGTCACATTTTCACATTTTTAAATTACCCGCCGTTCCATCCCCTTACGTCCTGACGTCGCAGGGAACGGAACCCAGAAGACAGATGCTGGCATCGGCTGGAGGACATTGCCGGGGACACTGCGGGAGCGCAGGACAAGGTAAGTGAAGAAGAGAACCCGGAGCAGCGCTGCAAGGTATTCCCGAGTGTAGCTCGGGGTTAGCGCTTGTGGTGCTGAAACTTTACCCCGAGCTACACTCGGGAATACCTCCAGGGAGGTTAAGAATGCTTGTTCCCACTACGCGAGGTCTGAACAAGCATGACAACGATGACTGACCACAAACTGGAATATTTATTATAATGAATGTTTGCAGCCTGTGTGTACACAATCACAACACATGGTAAATGCAGTGTGTGCATTAGATGTCCGTTTACGAAAGAGAGAACAGCTGTGATCCTGAGGATCAGGGCTGATCTCTCAAGTGTACCGATTTATGTAACTGAGATGATGTAACTGAGATGAGGAGCAGAGAACTTGTTCTCAACACAGCACACAACCGTTCTGCCATTCACTGGTACACAAACAGTCAGTTTATGAAAGTGAGATCTCAAGATCTCACTGGCCATTAGTGTGGAATATCTCTGTCCCAGATACTCAAGCTCAGAGATGTAGAATCTGGGAGAGAAGTTGGTGGGTGAAATGTGAGGAAGACTTTTTTTCTTCCTATATATTAGCACCAGAGGGTTAAAAATTATTGAGAGAGAAAGAAAAAGAGAGAGAAAATGCATGTATTATTATGTCATAAATGCGCTACAAAAAGTGTCAAAAATGAGTTGAAAAAAGAAAAAAAAAAAAAAACACACACAACTCTCTGTGCCCGAAAAGGTGCATTTTGTCACTTTTTTTTAATGCATATATTTTGGTACTTTTTTTAAAAAAAGTTAATTTTGCTACTTTGTTCAACACACATTTTGGTGCATCACCAAAACAATAAATATTCAATCAGTCTTGTGAGCTGCTACAAATAAATAAATGTTAAACAGTGAATCGCCCACATTAATCACACTCCCATATAAAATGTGTTGATTTCTATAATATATAGACAACAACATATATGAGAGGCAATATAGGGGAACCAGACCCCAGGGGAAGAGAACAGAGAAAATTCATACAGACCATATTACATACATCACAATAATTATATACTGAACATCCAAACTAGAACGATCAGGAATATGGGCAACAATATCCAAATCCCCACTCAGAACCGGTGTACACCCCTGCAGTATGAGGAAACAGGAATATAGATCTCCAGTACCTTTTTTAGGATGGATAACATCCAAGGGAAAGAGAGGGTATAGAGCAGGGAGAAGGACAAAAACAAAAAAAAGAAGGGAGTTCTAGGAGAGATTTTTAACCTTAGTGGGGTAGTACTCACTAAAAAAGAGATACAAGTTTTGGACAGAGGATTAAAAATTGCCCCCAAGAAAGGGTTTAATAAAATTGATACATTTGGGTATTCAAAAATTGGTGAGAAATTTAAATATCAAAAAGCAGTATGCACAGAACCTAGTGGCTAATCAAACTAAGAATTATGTACAAATGGGAGAATTTCATACACATTTGAGAAACAGGTCACTGTTTAATCCAATGATTACTGATAATAGCTAAAATTATATGTTTACGAAACATGTTATAGAGGATTTGGAAAGATTACCTATTAACAGGGTGGATAAAAAAAGATGATTTTTTAAAAAGTAAATAAAAAAAAAGTTTTGATTTAAATAGGATTTTTTTGATTTGTATCAAATTTATTTTAATAAAATGCTTTTGGAGTAAAAATCTATCTAAATAATTTTCTATTTAAGATACATTAATAATTTAGTTTATTCAGCATGAAATGGAGCTTAGTTATGTAGCATGAGGCTGTATATTCTGCAATATTTACATTTTTGGTAAACTCATTCAATGAATCCAAGCTCTGCAAGCTGAGATAACATAAACTGCATTGATGTATTCACACAATTTTTACAGTAATTATGAGAAAAAACATGAAAAAAGAATTTGAGTATTTCTCCAGCTATGTGTGATTAACCTATTAGCCTAAAAACAGTTCTGATATCGCTGTTTTACTAACCTGACAGCTTATTATTCTAAAAAAGAAACCTTCATTTGGTTTGCAAATATTAAAGATTCTAACTACCAGCAAGAATGAGTCAGATTCCTTACATTTAAAGAGCATTATCATTTTAGATCCGTCATGGCAGCACCTGTTAGTGGGCATCCACACGCCTGCTGTGTCCCTCACCTTGTTGTGTCTCTGCCGCATCACCAGCCGTCCCGTTAAAGTGAATGGGACGGTCGGGGAGTCAACAACGGGTCGGAGGAGGAGCCGCTGCAGGACAGGGATGACAATTGCTCTTTAAAAATTATGATTTACATTGAGCCTTAAATCAACTTGATTTAAATCAAATCTACCCTGCCCATTAAAAAGCAGAAGGACACACAGGATATAAAGTAGGGCATTAAAGCTTTGGAACAAAAGGGAAGACAGACATAGTAATCCGCCCTGCAGATAAGGGAGGGGGAATTGTTATATTATCTAAACACCAATATAAAACAGGAAATTGAAAAACTATTGGGGGATAGGAATATATATCCCGAGTAAGAATACCACCAAACAATATAAAAGAGAATTGGAAAAAACTGTTGAATAGGGGAGCAAAAAAGGGGTTAAAAAGGAGGCGAGGTACTTAGTACCATCTCTATGCAGACTATTGGTAATATATATTGGTAACATATAGGGGTTTATTTACTAAAGCTGGAGAGTCCAAAATCAGACTCCCTTCTGCATAGAAACCAATCAGCTTCTAACCTCAGCTTGTTCAATGAAGCTTTGGCAATGAAACCTGGAAGCTGATTGGTTTCTATGCAGAAGGGAGTCTGATTTTGGACTCTCCAGCTTTAGTAAATAAACCCCCATAGTGTCCAGAAAATTCACAAAGATAAAAAAACAACCTTCGGGGAGACTCATCATTAATAGAAAAGACTCCCTCACAGCCAGACTGGGGGGAGTATGTGGATCTCTTCCTGCAACCATTGGTGCAGGAACAAAGGCATATCTCAAAAGGCACTAGGCATATCATACAGTTACTAAAAAAATAGTCAGATAGCACAAGAAACTATTCTGCCAGCCACTGATGTATTATCACTATACATCACCATTGACCTCCATGGAGCAACTGAAGCAGCAAAAAGGGCATTAAATAAAAATGTATCATTAACAATCAAGCAGAAAATGTACAGGGCACTGATACCCCCTTCCTGCCCAGGCCAATTTTCAGCTTTCAGCACGGTTTCACTTTGAATGACAATTGCGCGGTCATGCAACACTGTACCCATATGAAATTTTTATCATTTTTTGAGACAGATAAAGCTTTCTTTTGGTGGTATTTAATCACCTCTGGACTCTCACATGCAGCAGAGTGCCAGTATTAGTGCCGCTCTACCTTTTGATGAACTGGCGAGCACCAGCGGCCTAGTACATCCTGGTCTTTCATATACCATACTGCAGTATCACTTGGTGACTTGGCGAGTCCTAGAAGTACAGTACAAGCTGGTGCGGTGGCTTGCACAAGCAGTGTTCGCAGCCACCAAGAATTCGCACACAGGCCTGTAGAGCCCCTAGTACTCTTCCGGATTTGCTTGCAAATCCTGATTGGCAGCCCACAAGTTCTGCAGCACCCGTACTTCCCCCATTCACTGCCCAACCCGGAATTCAGGTGGAAACAGCAAATTTAACTACTCCCCTTGATTTTTGGAGCGTTTTTTCATGGAAGATCTGTATGGATTGATTGTGGCTCAAAGCAATTTATATGCACAACTGTTTATCTCCACCAACCCAAATTCAAACCTTACCAGATCATTCGCATGGAAACCCATTACGGTTTCCGAATTTAAAGCTTTTTGGGGCCTAACCCTCAACATGGGTATTACTAGAAAAAATGAACTGCTGTTGTTTTAGTCTACAGACCCGATTTATCATATGCCTGTGTTCTCTGCTGCCCTGGCCAGGCAGTAATATGAAAGTATAATGTGTTTTATGAATTTCAACGATAATACACTCTGTCGTCCTCGGGGTGACCCTGAATTTGACCGGCTCCACAAAATTCGGCCAATTGCAAATCACCTTAACAAAAAAATTGCAGATGTCTATACTCCCCAGTAAAACATCTGCGTTGATGAGTCCCTCATTAATTTTTCTGGCTGCCTTTTCCTTCAAACAATTTCTCCCCAGCAAGCATGCCAGATATGGGATCAAGATATATAGGACCTGTGAGAGGGCAACAGACTATACATATAAGTTTTGGATGCCCAAAGCATTCCACCAGGGCGATCATCAGCAGGAGGAAGGGGAAGTCACATATCATCCAAATCCTCAGGAACATCCGGATCTGATATGGCCACCAATCAGGATGGCCTTGCGGTATATGCACACAGGTCAGGGGCACCTCACTGACGCATTTCGTTTAAAACCACTTCCTCTGAGGCCCTGGTGGAATGCTTAAGAATACACCTAGACTGATGACATCTAGTGGCCGACTTGCTGATGACATCTGCCTGGTATCACAAGTCCAGAGCACCAGGAGCAGGTCTTAATTGCTACACGCGCTATCTGGTTAGTGTAATGTTTGTACATTCACAACAACACAAGAGTCACGTTTATCCTTGATCACGGATTTTTGGAACACCTGCACATAATCACTTTGCTTTACTACTATAAGGACAGAGTTATTTAACATATGATATTTAACATATAATATTGTGCAATATTTATTTGTTTCTTCACTTGATTTTACTCACATTAGCGCAGCATACTTATTTTATATACCATTCAAACTTCATTATAGGCATTTGTGGGGCGTTTTTAATGCTTGGCAAATGCTTATCAACCGCCACTAAACCGTGCATGCGGCGTTTGCGGAGCGTTAAAAACGCTCCGCAAACGCCAGATCACCACTTGTCAAACGCTATAGGGGCGTTTGGCAAGAGTTGGAAGAAAAAGTCAAGTGTGAACGATCCCTTACAGTTTTATTGTTAACCACTGCTGTTTTCTTTGCAAGAAATGCCATTCAGCTGCAGCACCCACATCTGTATTCTGACAGCAACAGGGTCTTGCTCTCAGAATATACATAAGTAGGTGTGTGTAGTGCTGCTGGATGAGATTTTTCATCGGTAGTTAAAAAAAGAGCATGTATGCCGAAGCATGGTGGCCTGGGGTGGCCAGTGGGTGGATGGCCCCATGCTTCAGTATATATTTTAAAAAAAAAAAAATTGGGGGCAGAGATTTCTTCATCCACATCATCCAATGTGAATAGAGGAATCTGTTAGGTTCTTTCATGTGTGCCCACCATTAGAAGTGGGTGGATGCAGGCCGGTATATTCTAATGGTGGTTATACCACATACTTTTTCTGGAAGATTTCTTCTCATTTTTTTCCATTCAGCCCACAGGCCACATAAAAAAAAAAAAAAACATAGCAAATATACCCAACAAGGACCAGCGACGTACTGGTACATCACTGGATTTTGAGTGGTTATACCAGGATGATGGAAAAAATAGAACAGAAAAAAGCCACCTGTAAAGGCACAAATAGTTTGTGTCCTAGTACTATCTCCGACTCACTTATCATAAATCCCCCCAAATGGTAGCAAAAAGAGCTCAGAATCTAAATGACATATTAGTAGAGTCAGAATTTCAGAAGATTCCACAAACAAATTGGCTAACTAGGAAGACACGCCTGTGTGGTATGTTCCCTTGTGGCCACTGTCAAATCTGCCCTTTTGTGCATAAGACCAACCAGTTTTCTAACAAAGATAATTCTCGGGTATTTCAGATAAGTAGCTTTATTAACTGCTCTAGTAATAGAGTAATATATATGATAGAATGCCCATGCAGGAAGATATATATAGGAAAAACGAAAAGGAATCTTAGAACCAGGATTGGTGAACACCTGAGAGATATTAGAAATGAAAATAGAAATGGGGGGAAAGGGGAGAAAGAGAATCCCCTGGCACAACATTTTAAAGAAGTACATGGGGGAAGGACAGAAGGCCTGAAAGTCAAAGGGATCTTCCTACTGAATATTTCAGCTAGACGAGGTGACTTCGATAAAGTTCTTCTCCAAAAAGAGAAATTCTGGATCTATACTCTGGGTGCACTTGTCCCACATGGACTAAATACAGAACTTAATTTTAAAGTCTTCCTGAAGTAAGTCCTTCTGAATCTATATTTTTGCCTGTGCTACATTGCCCATATGGGTATCTGCTTAAATCAAGGAACTGAAGGTTCCCCCGGGCAAAATAAAATTTCGGTATGATGAATCTGAGGGGATAAAAATATAAAAAAGTAATAAAAAAATAGAGAACCCAACCTGAGGTGTGGTTCGCCTTACACCAGATTGAACCTCTATAATAATAACAAAAATAGTATTAAAACAGAGATTCTCTACTTGGCTCTGATGTTTCCTGTACTCCCTTCCCATGTACTATCAGAATTATAATTATCTTCCTTTTCCTCTATTCTGATCAATGATGATTTGTTTATTTAAATAAGGCCTTCCTCTGTATTGCCAGCAATCAATATATGTTTTTTTAAACTCACTTTGGACTTTTTAATGTAGTGATATCTTTTCAACACAAGAGGGCGACATGGAGATCTCTCGGTATGCAATTAGTGTACTATATAAGGCAATGGAATGAAGTCCCCTCCCAGTTCTGACGAAGTCCGCGGTGATTGGCGGACGAAACGCGTCAACGTAATGATGTCACTACGCTCGGCGTCTTCATAGGGTGCGGTGCCCACGAGGAGGAAAGGAGCGGCGTTGTTACAGCTCCATGCTAGGAAGGCACGAGGCTTTGAAAAACTACCATAAAGCTACTATTACAGCAGTCCGCATATGGCCATCCTAAATAGGAGCATACCTTCCACCGGTGGCAAGTTATCTTTGCTTATTTGGCTCAGTTAGCGGTAGTTGCTGTTTAGATTCATAGAGCTTATATGGAGTTGAGAGGGAACGCTATATGTGCCTAGTACTCCTGTTTTTTCAGGGAATTTTTTGGAAATCCTCTTAGGGGGACAATATATATACTCTATGTCACACATATGCTATACGCTGTGATATAGTTATATCCTCAAGGAACCGCTTTACTATCTCAGTTTGAGCAATTTTTGGAAACCCCATACTGGGTATATAGATTCAGGTATATAGTGCCTGCTACATATATAATACCCTTTTTGAAATTTATGTATTGAGACTACCTGGCTTCCCACCTGTATATGCACTATTGAACGAGCATTAAGGACCTGATCCTATTTCAAGTCGACGCGAGTCCTCTTGATCTTCATTGATGGTAATATATACCTCTATGTTATTTTGTTGTTTTTCATTATTCAGGGATTCTGCTTGATGTGTATGATCTATATAATTTTTTATATATACCTCTAGAATCACTTGTTACTGTGGACTTTGTTTCACTTGGGGTGGTTACCCAGGAAGTCTACATTCATCATATTGGTATGACAGCCAAGTCACTGAGAAGGTAATGAAAGTACCAATCTATCTCTGAATGGGGCAGTTATGGTGTGATCTATGTCCTATTTAAGACCATATATTTTTTTGTTCCAGTCTCTACTTACCAGGAAGCTATTCTACATATGCTGGCCTATACCAAGAATACGTCTGAAGAATACATGGCTAACCTAAATACAAGCTTGAATTATATGGAAACCTAGGATCATATAGCTAGATAATACCCCATTGCCTTATATGGTTCCCTATGTGCCAAAATCACCCAGGAATGAGGACGCCAAGTGCTTTTAAATGATTTTATTTGTCTGATATGTTCACCATGCTTTTGCTTAACCTCCCCACGATCTATGTGATCAAATAAAGTACTCTTTGTAACTATTGAACCTACATTACTCCGCGTGGATCTTTAAGTAACCTCTTTTTTCCAGGTGGTGTTGCTCTTGTCACACTACCACATTGTTTACTATACCAGGATGATGCCTGCAGCTGCAGGCATCATCCTGGTATTGTTATTTTCAGAAGGCGATCGGTTTTCATGTAAAAGCAATCCTAGTGGCTAGTTAGCTGCAGAATTGCATTTACAAGCAGTGGGAAAAGATGCCCCCTCCCCCGCTGCCTTCCACGGCTTTTTCGGGCAGTCTCATGCCATCGGGGGAACCTGAGTTGATGGAGACTGGAATGGTGCCAATCATCTCTATAGTCTAAGAAATCAGAAACTACGAGCATTTCATCACTTCAGTTTCGCAGGATATAAAGAGCGCCATTTGTAAATTGGGAAAGCATCTGATCACACTGATCTTGGCGAGATTAGATAATGTAAGGGCAGAGGAGATATCTAGAGTCTAATAGACCCCAGATTTCTCAAAAAGAATATATGA